AGTTGCGGAGACCTTAATTTATATGCTCCTTCCCGTCCCGTAAGGATTGCATCGGACTCAACGACCGTATTTATTATTTGAAGCGAGTCATTTCGTTTCCCTGATTATTTATCCTCGTCTTAATGTATTTATGTGTATATTTGTAGAATTCTCCAGCCGAGCTTAGGAACGCGCTCCCAGGCCGCGGGGGCCACGTCTCACCTCTTTAGTCCCCTTGCTCTGAACTAGTTGAGAGAGTAGTTTTGAACAGTTGTAACCGTGGCTGGTGTTTGTAGTTGTAAAGGATTAAGACCGCAAATTGTCCTTCATGGGTATAGAGTCAGGCGGCCCCGTGGCGTGGCACGACACCCGTTACTCATTTCTCAACAGCCGCAGCCCTCACCACTCGACACAGTTTATTGATTTCAAATTGTCTGGTACTATTTGAACAAATATTTAGAATAAAAAAAAATTTCTCAGTCGGAAGTGTATCTGTGTTAATCAAGCACACTTGGAAGTAGATCGCTCTGCCTTTTATCTTTTGCACAATCCCAGCAGAAGGCCCCCGAATAGGCTGACTCTTTGATATATCTATTTTTCATTTATTTGGAATCTGGTATACGAATTGGTTCTGGGGATACTTGATTACATTGCAGCTATTGACATTGGTGGGGGGTGGAAATCTGAGGATGCAAACCCAGAAATGCCCCGGGGAGGGGGGGGGATAATCTGGGTAGGGCTTTGTGCTGTGCCTGCTATGCTATTTCCACCACCTTCTTTTTAGACATAAATCAACTTTTTAAGGTTGCATTTACACTGGGGAGGCCAGCTCTCACGTTTCTGCGCTAATAAAAAATAAACTTTGAAAGAAAACTGACAATCAAAGAAAAGACACAAGAGAAGTTGTAAGAAGAACGGAGCTCTGAAAAAGCTAAGGTGCACAAAAAGAAATGATCATTTGGAGACACGCACCTAAGCTTTTTCTCTAGGAAATGCTGTCAGGACTTTTTCCTTTATGATGGTTGGTGGTTCATTTCTCAAGTAAACAAACGTTCCCCACGATGTAAAGTAATAAAAGTTTAATTAATGGAACACAACAAGTATAAACACCTTGTTTATTCCGGTTTCTTTGTACAACACGGGCAAAAATGTCTTCAAGGATTTATATCCACTTTGTAAATATTAGCCTGGCTTCGGCTAGGGGTGGACAATGTCCACCCGCTTCTCTAGGAGGAGACACTTGGAAAGCGCCTTCAGATAAGGTTCAAGTCTTTTGTATTTCAGCAAAGTCAGCCCACGCATCTCTATTCGGTTTGACAAATAATACAGCTCCTACTACATCCCCCCCGTGACACGAGGTGAAATTCCCATTGTGTGGAAATAATTTAACTTCTAATCTTCTGGTGGAACAACAATCGTTTCTATTTGGATGTTTGTGTTTCGCTAAATAATGATAGCTCAAATAATATCTAGTTCCCTTGTTCCTTTGTTTTTAAAATGGCATGTTAGATCGGGGGTGGTAGGGATTATCCTTTTGCAAAATTTTACTTTATCTGAGCAGGTTTAGAGTATACATGTTGTACAAGTGTATCAACAGAATAAATGACTTCAACTGAAGGGATATTTTACCCATTTGCAAGGTTTAAAATTGTTTTCTATGAAACTTGCATCCATAGGCAGAATTTCTAATTGTCTTGTAAGAAATTATTTTTTAAGCTATTAGGGAAGTCAAAGAAGAGCTTGCTGCCTTGCAGGGATTACAACAACCTTTCTTAACTGGCTAAATATTAAATAGATGAATTATCAGGCTGTTTAGATTCAGCCCGGTTTTCCCTCATCTCCTCTTCCTACCATAAATAATAATAAAAATACATAATGCATTATGGCTCCAGGCGTTTTCCAGCGCGGTGTGTTACCGCAGGAGTATCTGCTGAGTCTGCGGGTGTCTGCAAGGCCCCAAGTGTCATCTGCGGCTTAGGTCTCATGGATTAGACTTTAAACGGTGTCTAGGCCGGCTGACATCAGCTTCCTCTCACACTGATGCTCCAGAGAGGTGCGGGGTCGGAGGCTCCCTCTCCGGGCAGTTACCCGGAGGCACCCCTCTCTAACGGGGTGGGGGAGTTCGCTTGGGACAAATTGACTTTCTCTCACCTTTGGTGACAGGTTTCCTCGAGGCTTCCTAGAATGGCTTGGATTCTTTCCTGCCCTCGGCGTGTCATGTGATGGGCGCACTCCGCCGCTCCTGGCGCGGGGAGGAGGGCGCGGTGGCGAGTCTGGGGAGGCGCTTCCCGCGCGGCCGCCGGCCATGGCGAGAGGAGGGCCTGCAGCACAGCCATTTAAAACTTCATAAATTATAAACAAGCCGCCTTGGCCTTCGCCATAAATTCTGCTCCTTTTGAGCCCGCAATTAGTGTTAGGAAGCACCGGAGTCTAAACACAACCAAACGCCCTCTGAAGGGCCCAACTGCCCAAGGTTGCAAACCTTTATTTATTTCCCAGTACCACCCCCCTCTGCACCCCGAGGTCTGCGCGTACAGTCGCCTCCTCCCCCGCCAGCGGTACACTCGGTTGGGTTCCCGCTGCTCGGCGAAGGAAGGTCACAATAGCTGCTCTATCGGCGGAGGCGCCCGCCTCCTCCCTCCCGGGCCTCGGGAAAGCAGAAAGAAGAGCGTGGGGGAGGGGAGCACCGGCTGGGCAATGGCGCTCTGGGCCCAGGCCTCTCCTTCCCGGGGAAGGGGCGGGGGGGGGGGGGGGGGAGTGTGTGACCTGGAGCGGGAAGGGGCAAGCTGGCAGGAGAAGGAAACCTCCACCCCAGCCCGTGACTTTTGCCCGAGACGGCCACGTGGGGTACAATGGGGGAGCGCACAAGGCCTCGACTGTCCGGCACTAGGTTGAGGGCGCCGAGCAAGCCGGGCTTCCAGGAGCGGCTGCGCCTTTGTGTGCGCAGCTTCCCCAAGGGCTCCGCGTCGGGAAAGGCCTCACAATGGCACTGTTGGGCCTACGCCTGGAGGTGGGGAAGGGCCGGGCCTCGCTTTGGGCATTGGTCTCTGGGAGGTTTACCCCCTTTGCTGCTCCAGAGGAGGACGTGGCTCTCTGGCTCAGGCCTTGACCAGCTCGGCTTTTTTTTTTTTTTCCTATAGAGGCGGCGGGGAGCGCTGGGGGAGGGGAGGGGATCAGCGAGGTTGTGGGGGATCATCCTGAGGCCTGAAGAAAGGGTCCATGGATGGGGGTGGCAGCGGTTTGGGAGCCCCTGGTTGTTCTGTCCAGGCAATCAAATGTTAATTAAAGCTGGGTAGAGAGGAGGCTGCAAAAATGGCCCGCAGTAGAATGGGAGGTGGGAGTGGGAAAAGATTTAGCCATAAGGAGACCTTGCCGTGGCTACCAGGAGAAACTCAGGCCCAGCCAGGAGTGGGGTAAGAAGACCCAACTGAGCTAGCCAGGGGTACGGGGACGTGGCAGAGGAAAGGTCTGAAGAGCAGTCCTGGCCCCTGGAAAGGCGGTAAGAAAGGGCGATTAAGTAAATGTTCTGCCTCCCGGCTTTCAGACCTCAGCCTCATCCTGGGTCCTGACAGAGAAAAATCCGCCTCTGATGGAATCATTAAGTTAACCATCCATTTGTACCATTTCTTTGTACAGGCTTTCAAATGAGAGAGAATGATAGAATATAGAGTGAGTACTTTCCCCCTGGTGCAGCCCCAAGCCTAGTCCCTATCACAGACACATCAGCCAAATCGGTTTCCCAGGCCCCAGAGGCTGTTAACCTTGCGGAACAGGATTTTTTGGATTGCTATCTGTAAGGAGTATTAAAACACAGTAATTACCTATACTAGCTTCCCATTTCTTCTCTCTCCCCCATTCTGTACAAGCCAACCCACCCTTGAGTGAAGTGCATCTTCTCAGTCATAAGTCTTGGGAGCCTAGGCTCTCCATCTGTTGAGGTTTGTTCATTAGGGAGGGACAAGGGGATGTGTGTGGGTGTATGTTTGAATAACAAAGAAGAAACCCAACATTCTAATGAAAAGTGTTCCTCTGCTTGACCTGGAGGAGCCAGAAGCTTGTTTACACTGTCAGTGTTCAGGGGAGAGTTACAGGCCTGTTTGCTTTTATCCTGAGGATTAGTTGAAACTTTCTCTCCCAGTAAAGAACTGGTTAATCCCAGTTACAGATCCAGGAAGGTCCTCTTCATCTGGGAGTTCTTGGTGTTACTTCGGTCCTTCTTTCAGAAACTGTAAGGGAAAAAAAGGGGGGGGGGGATGAAGAGAAGTTTGTGAGTATTAAATAAAAATAAAAAGAGGGGCAGGAGGCCCCAGTTCCCACAGGCCTACAGCCTCACCACTTTAGGGCACTGTGCCTTCCCAGAGAGGATATAGCTACCGGTGAGCAGACTTCTCCCTAGACACTTTGGACACAGTTGAGACACAGCTGAGACTGAGTCACCAGCCATACCCTCCACCATCTCTGAGCACTGGCTCACTCTTGCAGAGGGCCCGGATGGAGAGGAAAAACGACTGGGTAGGTGAATCCTCTGTACTTACAGCATTGTTGGTACTGGTGGTGGTGAAGATCATCACAGAGGGTGAAATTTTAGTTTTCACTGTTCCCCTCTCTTCTGGTGCAGCTACACATGCCCTTATCCTTGGGGCCCAAAGTTGGTACCAAATAGATTTACACACCTGGCCCAAAGTCCACGCCTAAACACCTCCCTCAGGTCTCATAACCACCTTGGCAAGTTGGAATGGTACAAGGGGAATTCAAGGACCCACTTTCAGGCCAGGGGCAGCCTGAAGCACAGTGAACAAGTTTCCTTCCACACATGAAGAAGAGGAAATGTAAATGGATGTCCAATCATTTGCAGTAGCAGAAGCAGGTGAAAGGTCCCTAGGAGATTTGCAAGGTGGGCAATAGTAGGTAAATCCTCTTGTCCTAGATCCTGTGGCAAAGTATCTTGACTGGTTCCTATGGCTAGTCTGGATCAATTTATGGAAGAATAATATCTGGAAAATAATGAAAATGGGATGTTTACATCAGTAAGAGTCCAAGGAGGAGACTTTAAATTAGGATTCGGGGAGGACAGATGAAGTGTTTTTACTGGGAAAGCAGGCCTAAAATCAGGCCAAGAGGACCTGTTGGGCCACGGCCTTTCCGAAAGAGGGGAGAAGAGCCTAGCTGCCTTGGGAGGAGACCAGGGAGAAGGCCTTTTGATGGCTCTATTGTTCCAAGCGCTTGCCCTACAAATACCACATCCCTCCCCGTCCCTTCCGCAAGGGCAGAGCGGGAAACTGGGTCGGTCGGTTGGGCCGAACTCGAAGTAGCGACAGCGCTGGCACCAACCTCTCGGCCCCTTCTGCGGCCCCTTGGGGCGGCAACGGCGCGCCATTCCCGTCGCAGGCCCAAAACACACAAAGGAAGCCCCCACCCGTCCTCAGATGTGGGGACACTCTGGGGAGGAGGCTGGCGTGGACCCCGAGTCTGAGCACCTCCCTCCCCCGCGGGGAACAATAGCCGCCGCCTCCCCGGGGCGGCCGGGCGGTCGCGCGGCACAAAGGCCGGCTCCGGGGCCGCGCCACCATGTGACGCGCGCGCTCGTTCCGCGCTCTCCGGCCTGCAGCCGGGCGCAGTCAGCAGAGAGCCGGAGCGGCCAGGCTGCCTCAATCCACCTGGCACACTTTCCGAAAGACAAACGGTGAGTTAATCACCCAACCGGCTGGCGGCCGCGTCCCCTCTCGCCGGCGACGAGGCCTGGGGAGGGGTGGGGCGGGGGGG